CGGTGAGCGGCAGGTTAGCGGTTGTGGCGGGCGCGATATGACCACCGCTAGATGGAGCGACGGGGAAGAAGGGCGCGACGGCGGCGAACGCTTTGTCGTGTTTGTTTATTTCCTGTCGCGCCGCCGCCGCCACCCGCCGGTCGGTTTCTCACGTTGATTGCGCGTTGACCTTGGGCCCTATCACGCGCGCGCGCGCGCGCGCGCGCGCGCACACACCGTCGTTCTCCCCGTGCTCGTTGCGCACCGCCGTCGAACGGAATCCGTCGTCCGACAACGCTCCCGTAGACAGTACCCGCTCGTCGTCCGTTCCGTTCGCACTGTGTTCACGTGCACACCAACAGCAGCAACAACAACAACAGCGATCCGTCTCGTACCCCCGGCTCGCACGTGCTCGTGTCGTCTCCGTCTCGCGGTCAATCGTGTGCCCTCCATCCCCGCTGCTCTCGACCACGGTCATGCGAACCCGCCGCGGCGGACGTGCCAGACGCGCCATTGACGCGTCGCCCGCTGAGTGCTACCGATGTCGCTGATCCTACACCCCTGAGAGTACAGGTAAGCGGCGGCGCGCGTTAAGCGCGCATCGCGGGACCAGTCGAAGAGGGCTCACCGCGCGCGCGACCGTTGCCGAGTGGCTCCTTAGAGCGAGTGATGCGACGTAGATGGAGGGACGGACGATTGTGAACTGTTTATTTGCGTTTCAGATTAGCGTTCTGGCCTCGGCTCTTGTCGTTATTGGTTATTAATTGTTATTTTCATTTTTTTTTTTTTTTTTATTGTTCCCGCGTCGGTACAGGTGAAGTGAGCAGATAAACAGAAAAGAAAAAAAAAACAACTCGACAGCCTATACGCTGTCATTGAGATTGCTGTGCGGTGTCAGAAACATTCATAGCAGTCTTGGACGTTCACGACAGCAGAGACGCTGCGATACTCGTAAACGTCCCTTCCTACACATCCTTCTGCAGCCGGTTAAATCGCTGCGCCGACGAAATGAGTGCGTATCAAACGGCTTCTGTTGTGTACAACATCCAAAACTCAACGCTCTTCGGCCATGGCCTGTTTGGCAATTGCTATTCGAATATTGTGGGAACGGCTGCTACAATGTTCTTCTCGACACAGTATCAACCAGTCATCATGTCCGTGGTAGGGTCTATCATTGTAGGCCTCAGCGGGCTGTTTCCACTTCTCGTTTTGCCAGTGGACGACTCAATCTCTTTAAAAACTGGCCGTAAGTATTCAAGTCCAACTATGCACTGTAATAAAGTAAATACAAATGTTCGTTATTGATAAGATATCAGAAATATAAGATTATTTTAACTCTGTTGTTTTAGTGTTGACATATTAATAATCATGTCACTAGTTGTGATAAAATAATGATGTAATTCACGTTTAATTCATCAACCTAATAAATGATTTGTAAATATTTTAACAATTTATATACCCGGCTCATATGTACACAATAATATTGCAAATAAAACATCTAGTTATTATACTGCAAATAGATACCAGGTGTTAAAAAAGTTGTAATAATAGTGTAATTATTGTAGCTAATCATAATATCTGTGCATATTTGTGTGCTAAACACATTATATAGTTTTTATTTTATATAGTTTAATGGGTGCAGTTACATAATAATTAAAAATACCATTAAATTGATTGATCATTGGTTGAGCTAATGATTTTTCTAAAAATTTAATTATTTAAACCAATTATTAAACAAATTTTGCAAATCCAATGTATCGATAAATGTTTTTTTTTATCTGTTTTAGTATTTAATATTTATTTTTAAAGTAAAATAAATTTTTATTTATAGTGTTTAACTGACGTCTTATATTAGATTTAATTTTTTATTTTGTTATTGATTGCATACATTTTGTTATACGAACAATTTCAGGTACTATCAAACAAACTAACTTAACAAAGAACTTTAGCATTAATGTTCAAGACCCTCTAGTTAGCCTTGAATCTGATTGGCAGTTGTGCATGTCTATAGGTTAGACCATGTTTACAATTAGATATACTTTCGTTAAAAATACATCCTGTATAATGGTTAAGATCATTTAATTTAATTTTTTAATTTTAATAAATATTACATTGAAAATTAATTTTTTTTTTTTGCTTTAATTATCCATATTGCTGGATAAGTTTTTGCTAATCAGTCACTATTATATAGAAATCATAGTAGGTATGTCATTTATTGGTTGGGTCAGTAGCATAGATGAACAATGGTTTAGACGTTGCATATCAATCAATACAATATTAGCCAATTCTGTATTCATTCAGCCGTGTAATTAAAACCTAGTATGAAGTAATTGTCATTGATCAAAAGATTGTCGTACAACTTAGCCTGTACATACTATTATGAATTCTGTTTGGTTGGTACCTAATATATAGTTGTAATTAATTACTGTATAACACAATTGATAAATAGTCATATCAATAACTAGTTAATAAACTGAGAGAAACTCAGTTTGTGAATTTCAGTTACTTGTTACTCTGTGTAGCATGGATTTCATTTTTATATAATTTTTTAATGAAATATTGCTTATTATAAAGTGTTCATTCTTAAATATTTTTAAAGCAACAGCATTTATTTAATTGTATTTTTCTATTTATACTTACTTTATCTCCATAACATTGTCAGGATAAAATACATTTTACAAGGTTGATACAATAACAAGATATTTGTGTGCTGTCAATAAATGTCTGGCTCTTGTTTTAGCTGCAGTGATTAGTAATTCATAATTTATAACCATATATAGTGTTCAGTATTCTAATTTTGACACGAATAGTAATTAGAAAATTAATTATACTACAGCTGCTACTGTTCAAATTTGTTTTATTAATGTAATTTTAAAATGCATCATAATTTGCATATCTCATTTTTGTTTTTATACAGACGTATGAACACACAATATTAATTAAATAATTATTTTAAAATATATCCAATTAATTATAAGTAGTATTAAATACTAATAACTTATTCTTAAGTTAAATGTTTTATTAGAAGATTTTAAATAATTCAATTTTTATTTTTATTATTAAATTAGAGATATTACTTGCTCAGACGCAATATATGGTTATTGTTTACAACTTGGGTTATAGGCCATATCAGAATAATTTTATTTTTGAACATATTATTTCTACAGGAAAAAACCCATTAAAGATACAAGAAAATACTATATTATACAATCATATTACCTATAGCGAATCTATTTCTATACTAAGTTAAACTTCATAAGTTGCATAATTATAATTAAATATATATTTATGAGTAAAGCATAGTCATGTAAAATAAACAAATTATGATACAAAAGTATGGTAATTAAATTACATTTACCTCTCATATTTATTGTTGAATTTTTATGATTTTAAAATGTATTGTGCCTAAGTGTGTTAATGTGCAAAATTTTTAAAATATTAAAATCAATCTTTCCTTTTTAGCTGGAAGTAAACATTTACGTCTTCTGTTGAGTTTTTCGGTTGGAGGTATGTTGGGTGATGTATTTTTACATGTTTTGCCCGAAGTATGGATCTCATCTAAGGGTAAGTCTTACAGTACAAGTCTGTAAATATTACTAGCTAATTACTTTTTTGCTTATTTGTTTTTTTATAGATAGATATGGGAATTGGATTCGTGATGGCTGGTGGGTGCTAGCTGGATTGTTGGTATTCATTGTAGTCGAGAAATTGTTTTCGCTATCAGACGATGAAGATATAAATGAATCTATTGAGAAGATAGTGTCTCCTAACACAAATTTGATCAATAACAACCTTAAAGATCTAAAAAAAGTAACAAACTGCAATAATGGTGTATTGGATAAAGCAAAGAACCACATACAAGTGAGTTATACATTTTCACTGTTGAACTATTGAATACAGTAATATAAGTATTTTATTGTTATAGATCAGCGGGTATTTAAATTTGTTTGCCAATTGCATTGACAATTTCACTCATGGTTTGGCATTGGGAGGAAGTTTTCTCATATCACCAAGAGTCGGGTTATTTACTACATTAGCAATATTGGGTAATAAGCAAAATATTTTTATAATTTTATTTTTTTTATTTTGGTTTTTGTTTATTAGTTTGTGTTTAATGTGTTATTAATTTTCAGTTCATGAAATTCCGCATGAAGTTGGCGATTTTGCTATTCTCTTAAAGTCTGGGTTCAATCGTTGGCAGGCTGCATGTGCTCAAGTATATACAGCTTCTGCTGGCATATTTGGAGCTCTTACTGCCATTTATTGTAGTGGAGTTTCTGGTGACGTGGGTGAGTCAAATTAATTTTCATAACTATTATATTCCATTTGTATTATTTAAAATTTAAAAGCTTGAACCAATTTGTTTAAATGTTTATAAATGTTTAAAACATGTTTTTTTACTTTATTAAAAGTAACTTTTCCACAAAGCATTCTAAATACGTGTACATTTCTCTACTAAGAAAAAGTGCCAAAAATGAATGATGTGAAATAAAGAATACATTTAAGATTTATTATTTTAATTATAAAGTGTTAACTATTTTCTTTAGAAAATGTCATACTTTCTTATTTGTACGTTACACTTATGAAATCATAAGTAATGATTACACCTTGTATTTGAAATTATTCACAAAATGAGGTTTTTATATTATCAAAATATTACCATTGATTGATTTTCAACTTTTCCTCGTTTATGACAATTTTATAAAATGTATTATTGTGCCATTAGTTAAATCATTTTTAATGATGAAACGTTTATATTATATTTTAATGTTGACTATGAGGTTTTTTTTTTTTAAATTGAAGATTTTCGATTTTATAATTTATTGTATCAATTAAATGTAGATATTCTGTGTAAAAATGTTGGTTTTATAGTAGAAATTAATAACTATGTACTGCTTATTATTATTTTTAGAGGGTTTGTTCAAAGTTCATGTTGATGTATTAAAAAAACGAGTATTGTGTAATGATGACAAATATTTTGTTATATGTTTCAGAGGCAAAGACATCTTGGATTATGCCGTTTACAGCCGGTGGTTTCCTTCATATATCTTTAGTCACCGTACTGCCTGAACTTTTACTCGAGGAGAACCCAAGAGAATCGATTAAACAATTTACGTTGATATTAGCTGGAATTTTAGTCATGTACGTTATGTCTCATCTATTCGAATGACCACTGATGTATGATTTTTTCCTGACCCACTCCTTCACCACATCCCCTTTTACAAAAGACTATAGTTATATTTTTTTAACTCTTTGATCACATTATTTATGTACCACTTATTTTTAAGTTGTTTTTAAGGTATTATATTTATGTTTCGTATTATTCTTGATGATAACTACCGTATGTCATACTTTGTACTCATATGTAAAAAGCAAAATTTATAACTTTCTTATGTTACCAAGACACAAGCACATAATATTTTTCTCTTTACTTTATTGTTTATCAATACACTTCTGTGGTTAATCAATTTAATGGCTGTGCATTGTTGATTTTTTTTTATCAATATTGCATTTTTTTTTTTATAGTTTTGAATAAAAAAAATGTATTTTTGTTATCAAGCCATATTAGATTTATGTTATGTAAATATATATATTTGTTTTGAAAATGTATAAAAAAAACTATAATTATTTTATTTTACTACTTACAATGTATATTTTAACGTGTTCTTACGATAGGAACAAATAACAAGATTTGTATTTTTTTTTATAAATATATATTAAATATATATTTTAAATTGTGTTGTACAAACATATTATTAATTAACTTATATGAAAAAAAATTATGAACTATCATCAGAATCTGTTTCTTCTTCTGCATCTTTTAGCCATTCGACTAGTTTGCTAGTTTTATCTCTTATAATCTTTGAAAATGGACCGTCTTCATCCTTCTGATGCCATTTTAGTATTGATTCTTCGCTCAATACGTTCATATCGTACAAGTGATGAATTACCTTTACTACTACTGTGTTGAGCATATCTTCACACTTGGCTACATCTTCAATTGCTGATAAACAATCTTCACATGAATCCATGTTTTTAATATAATTTTTCAGTACTGGCATAAAGTAATCAAGCTGGGATTGCAGTTGTGCGTAATAACGAACCTGGTTCAGAGCTTTGAGCTCAGCTTTATTATTCAATGTTAACATAGCTCGTATCACTTGGAAATTTGCTTCTCTATAATTGATGTTATATGCATATCGTGATGAATTAATTTCTAGTATAAGATTATCGCAGTGCACATGATCTTCAAATCCTCTAATCAACGAGTCCACAACTTCAGAGTAGAACATGCATGTATCATCAGGTATAGATGCAACGATTGATGCTGTATCATCATTATCTGATGAAGAATAACTGTAACTTGAACAAGACTTTTTATGATATCTCAAACCACTAGTTTCTTGTTCACCATCTGAATCTGAATCATTTTCAGCATCGTACACGTAAGCTTTAGGACTCAATTTTATCATTTTGTTATTGAAGTTGGAACTACATAACTGTTTTTGTTTCAACTCTGTAGTTGACTCAATTACAACATTACTGCCAAGGATACAACTGTCTATTATTGTACTGTTTTCTTTAATTAAGCAATTTTCACCAATAACTGAATATTGTATGACGGAATTATCTTTGACATTAACACCATTAAATAGATAAGAGTTTTCTATAACAACATTATTGCCAATATTACAATTTTTTCCAATGATACTTTTAAATATAGATGTGCCATTTCCAAAAATAGAGTCTGATCCTATAACTGTATCATTACCTACATCGCAAGTTAGGGCCAGCTTTAAATTTTCCCCAAAATAAACATTACCATATCGTAAACTGTATTTATCGATGATCTCAGGAACTTGAGGATAACTCCACCGGTGTAAAATGTCATGGCTGGCTTTTTGATATGATGGCCAGTCAAAGACTTCATTAACGTATCCCTTGTCAATAATGTGTACATAGAGCGTGCTATTCAGAATTTCCTCATTAATGAGCAGCCCTTTAACAAAATCGTCTTTTGTCTGAAAATCAAAGTTATCAGCAAATAATGGAGGAACGGCTGTAGAACAAATGGCTATATTGGTCTCGAGGAGGTCACGTCTGATTTGGACCGTTTCATTGAGCACTAACTCCAAGGGTAGATTGATTTTGCCCCGGCTTTTGTTGTGAAATAGCACTCTGTGAGAGTCGGAGCTCAGCACCAGCGTCTGACCAGTGTCCGAGTTACCCTGTTGGTAAATCAATGTCATCACTGCACCCTTGTCTCTTTGCCGCAGCTCTTTGAACTGCTTGACCAGTGGCAACAGGGACAGCTTGCCGATGACGTTGCCCCAGAGTAGCACGAAATCGTTTCTGATCAGAGCACAGGCGTCCAGGTGCCTGAGTACGTCACCAAACGAACGGCAGGTGTCGGAACTGGAGTAAGTCACGTTCAGCCGGTGGAAGCTGGTGTCACGGACGAACGTCTTAATGCGATCCGTACTGCAGCTGGAACAGAACAAGACCACGTCCACGATGCCAGACGACTCAAGCAGATCCAGCGTGTAGTAGAGCAGCGGTTTGTTGACCATCGGCACCAGGCACGAGTCGTCCTTGCCGGCGGCGGGCCAGAAATTCTTGTGGAAGAAACTAGCGACCACCACGGCCTGCAGCACGTCCTGCTTCTCCACTTTGCTGCTCATGGCTGTGGAACGGGTTCCAAAAGATCGTTTAAGGCCGAGGAGACCGCGACCGAGGGACTGTCGACAGCGCGCGAACAAGACCCGCTGTGTCGCTGGTCCATAGAGTTATTACTCTATGAGCTGGTCGCGACGGCGTGATAACCACTGATAACCGTTAACACGATGGACGATAACGTGGCGCGATCCACGGACGTTGCGTAGTGATGCGGGGCGGGCTGATAACCGCGGTCCCAGTCCGATAACGACGTAATGGACCGCGGTGTTGCCGCACGCCCGGACGTCCCGCGGAGCCGGCAACACCTTGTCCTTACTGTGTCGTATCAGTAGCAGCGCTCTCTCGTGACGTTGCGATATAATCATTTTATCAATATTTTCGGATAGTAGTTTGCTCGGCGAAAGTTTTATTATTATTATTATTTTATTATTATCGTGGAATACGATTGATCCGTTCGACGTTCACTGTTATTACGCGGCGAGCGAAACGTAATACGCGCCACGTGAGGTAAACAACTCGCGCGGAAACCAGTATCGGCCCAAGTGAAACCAAATTTTTCGACTGTTCGTGCGTACGTATTTTTCTTTTTTCGTCATCACCGTTCCCGTTCCCGTAACCAGCTTTGACGCGATGTCTACCAACGAAGAGAAAGCGATGGCCCTGATGTCCGAAGCGGACAAGAAACTCAACTCGTCCAAGGGATTCTTTTCGTCGTTGTTCGGGTGAGTGGACCGCAAGGTCGAAAACTGTTGTGCACCATGAGTATTTCCAACCTGGTAGGCGGGTGCGGAAATGGTATTCCGTGGTCGAAAACGTGTTTGGGGGGCCACTTGCTCGTTTGTTTAAATGTATTATAAGTCCCCACGACCGTTACCCTCCCCACGGTTTCCCCAAACTAACTCCAGTCGGTCACCAACATGCGAAATAGATTCATTGTATCTATTCTGCGACTGACCATCCCATCAGAACATCATGCCCCCCCTCCTCCAGCAAATTGTCGTAATTAGTTTTACTGTTGCATAAGAAATCAATTTCAATAACGTAATTATGAGTATATCACACGTACTAGGAAATAATATTTTATTTGTCATTACGATATAATGCTATGTTCTCCTTTTTAACTATTTATCAAACACCTGTATCCTGAATTTGGAACTGTTTAAAATTTGATACTTATTAAATATTAACATATTTTTGATCCATCTTTCAGTTGCTTTGTTATCATGTTTCATAAAACTTTCACTCTTAGAAATACTATGTTAAATTTAATTAGATAGGTATTAGGTTCCTAATATTTCCTTAACCTTTGTTCCATTTTTGGTACTTACATGTTTAATATTTCAGTATGCATGCATGTATTTCAGTTATAGTGCTACAATAGTTATTAGCTAATTGATGTAGGTCATGTTCTTTATCTTATTCCTTGCGTAAATCAATGTAATTGTTTTCTTTATAACATTGTTCTTATATTTTCTCATTTTTCTTTAAAACATTATTCCATTTGCAATAATTTACTATTGTACTTTTTAAGGCATTATTGAAATAAAATCTATTAGTAAACTCTGGGGAAAAAAATGTTAATAAGGATAATCCTAAATGTTTAGTCTATTTTCATATTCAAAACAAAGATTTTATATTAGTACTTAAGGATGGTTATAAATGTTAACTGTTTTAATAGTGTACAATTTTTAAGTTTTCAAAATTATTCCATTAAACTATTTGATGATTTTATTGCTTATTTAATATTGAAATTTTGCATCCCATTGAAGATGTATTATATATTTTTTTATCGAATGTGAAATGCTCTAATCTTATCAAAATATTTATGAGTACTCAAGTTATGTGTCATAAATTAACACATGACAACATATCAATGTCATGGTTTATTTTAAATATTTTATATTAGTTAATATTTCAAATACTTAATCTGAATTTTATTATTAAGAATGGGCAATTTAAAAATGTCAGGTATAAAAAACAAAATAACAAATTATGGTTTTATATAAATCAAGAGAAAAAAATGATTTTAATAACTATTCTTGATATATTATGCATGAGTAGAGATTTTATCATTACTCTATCACCAATGGTTTTATAATTTATATTATTAATTAAGTATTATGACTTATCATTATTTAAGTTTTATATAAAAAAATTATGTAGATAACCTATATTTGTGTTTTGTAGTGATGGGTCAAAGTGTTCAAATGTTAAACCAAACTATTTACCATTTAGATATGTTCGAAATTTGAAATTGAAAATATTCTTAATCAATCTAAAATTAATTTTCTATACTTTATAGCAGTGTTTCTCAACCTATGGGTCTTGACCCATAAATTGGGTAGTGATGTTTTTTTTTATTGGTCGCAACTGTCGACCAGTTGCATCAGGCAGTTACATTTCTCCAGTTATAGGGAAACACTGCTTTATAGTATATAAATTTTTAATTTGAAACTGGTTGTATGTTACAAATATAATAATACCCCAGACTAAGTATTTATATATATATATAGATTTATGAATATTAACTATTTACTAATTTATATTTTGTGTTTTATTATTGCAATTGATTTAAATATACTATCTAATTATTTTTTTAAATTATTTTTTTAGAAATGTTTCTAAGGTAGAAGATGCAATTGATTGCTATCAACGTGCTGCTAATTTATTTAAGATGGCAAAAAAGTGGTCACAAGCTGGTAGAGCATTTTGTATGGCTGCTGAGCTTAATTCTAAATCAGGTCGTAAACATGATGCTGCTACAAATTATGTAGACTCTGCAAATTGCTATAAAAAAACAGATCCGAATGGTAAATATAAATGATAATATTTATTTAAAGATGACTATATATGTGTTTAATATACATAATAAGTTTAAATAACACTGTTCTATGTTTTCAGTTCTTTTAGTTTATATTCATTTCATAGGGTTATTAAAATATTTAGTCCTTTTTTAATTTAATTAATAATATATAGTTTGAGATTTTAATATATTTAATTACTGAAGCTGAAATTTGAAGAAGAAAAAATGTTTGTGCACTGAGTTTAATCTCAAATAAACTTTATAAATATTTCTGTGTGTTATGTTAAAATTTTAATCTATTAATATTTATATAAGCACTATATGGCTTTAAATTATTTTTATAATACTACTACTATTGGCTATAACTGTCTTATAATTTTGATTTTCATCCAACTCCTTAAACAATTGTTTTTTTCTTATTACAGAAGCTGCAGTATGTTTGGAAAAAGCAATTGATATATATACAGATATGGGTCGTTTTACAATGGCTGCCAAACAACATCAAAATATAGCAGAAATGTATGAGACTGAAGCTGTTGATCTAGAACGTGCCATAAACAATTACGAGAAGGCTGCTGATTATTTTATGGCTGAAGAAAGCAAGAGTTCAGCAAACAAATGCAAACTCAAAGTGGCACAGTATGCAGCACAACTCGAAGACTATAGTCGAGCTATTCAGATATACGAAGAGGTATGAAAAGTATTACATAAAAATTGATTTTTACTATAAATTGAAATAAATTAAATTATAGGTTGCTGGGACATCATTGGACAGTTCCTTGTTGAAGTACAGTGCAAAAGAATATTACTTTCGAGCAGCATTATGTCATTTATGTGTTGATGTACTTAATGCTCAATTGGCAATGAATCAATACATTGAACGGTATCCAGCATTTCAAGATAGTAGAGAATACAAATTACTTCAGGTAAATAATCTATTTAGTTGTTTTTTAAGACAGAGTTAATTTTCATGAGTTTGAAAGTTAATATTTATTTTGTTATATGAACTATCTTACTATTATATAAAGAAACAGAGTTTGTTTGTTCGCAAATCTCAAAAACTATTGGATTGATTTCAAAAATGTTTTCACTATTGCTACATTATCCTTGAGTAACATAAGCTATATTTATTAATAAATTATTAAAATGAAAACTTTATTTATTAAAAAAAATTAGGGATCCCTACTAAAACTTCAATAATAAAAGTTGAAATTTGATAAATAATTTAGATCTCAGTATCTCAAGTTCAAACCATGGTCTTCATGGCCTAACTTTTTGCATTGTTTTTAAATTAATTTGTTTTCTTTTTACTTATTAATTTTATAATTGGTCTCATCTTGGGAAAGATTTTAATGCTTAATATAACTTGGGAAAATTGATTGGATATCCGAAAATAATATTAAAATAAAATGTATGTATTTTTTAAAATGTGTATTTTTGTTACTCCATCATTAAATATGTTACTGTGATGTTGACAGTACAGTACTGTACAGCAGGATAAATTACCTTAATATCCCGTTTAATTATGATTCCTATTTTACATTTCTAGTTAAGAGACTTCTATTTCCCATTAAAGTTTTGTGCATTATTACAATTAATAAGGCTCAAAGACATATATTTCAATATGTTGGTATTGATCTAAGTGTTTCTCACGTGAACAGTTATATGTGGGATTATCAAGAACAGGTAAACTGGAAAATCAGCTTATTATATTACCAAATGGTTTGAAATCAAAAAATATTATTTAATCTAAGGATTTCATTAAATAAAATAAATAAATATATTTAAAAAGTATTTAATTTTATTTAAGTAAATATTTAAAAAAAGATCGTATTATATGCATTAATGACACACAAAGTAGGTTATTATTACCTTACGAGATGTCTATGTTATTTAGAAAAAGTGTCTAAAATTAAAAAAAATTACTAAAACAAAACAATATATCTATGAAAAATGTAGCAATAGCAAAGCGTTGCCAGATCAGCTAGAAAATATAAATGAAACAAAAGAAATCCTAAACACAGTACTAAGAACCATACAAGATAATTTCATTACAAGTAAAAATGTTTAATGACCAACTAAATGGGCATGGACCAGATTGTATATTTATATATATATATATATATATTTGCAATACAATTGTTTATTTTATATTCTGGTTAAGCATTAATTTGTTTTAATTTATTTAATAATTTGGCTATTATGTCTTCTATATGATAGCTTCAAAATTATGCAAAATTATATAATTATATAAATAAATTATATAAATTTGATAATTACCAGTCAGGAGTTGTTGGATTTTGTAAATTCACATTCTCCTTGCACTCATTGTATTACCCCTAAAATATTTCTACTAAATTGTTTGATATAAAAATGACAATGATTACTATACAATTCTATACTAATAAATTAGTCAAGAATAAATTAAGGACATTTTATCTAATCCTCAACAAATTTGAATAACTCCAATAATTCTGGTTTAAATGTATTAATCTAAAGTTCTAAAATCTAAAATTCCAGAAAAAATATTGGAAATTTTTTTATAAAATTAAAGATTGAAATTGTCATAGGATATTTCTTAAAAAGTACAAAAAAATCCATGTATTGAGAAATATAGTATTTTTGTACATATACGTTTCCAAAAATCAGTATTTGAATAATTACATAATTTAAATATAAAAAAAGGAATGAACATATTTAAATCCTCAACACCATATAAATAAATATTATGAATAGTTGATTTTACTTGTTAAATTACTACGCACTGATCTCATGAGCACTAATTTTTTCAATTTTATATGTTATTTGAAATATGTTTACTATATTAACTTAAGTAAAATTATTCCAACTTTAATCTAAAAATAATTTGTTTATATAATTTTATTTAGGTGTTGCTAAATCATATTCAAGAACAAAATGCTGATGGATTCACTGAAGCTGTTAAAGATTACGATTCAATATCACGATTGGACCAGTGGTACACAACAATATTATTGCGCATTAAAAAGTTGGTGAATGACACACCAGACTTACGTTAATTTAGTTTATGAATAAGTACATATTTTTAAATTTCCTAATTTATAAATTTACTCTCATAGAAAAGACGAAAAAATGTAAGGTAAATATTTGTATATATTTCCATTCCTTATGCAAACTAACTTGTTGAAAAATAAGATTTAAATATTATGTAACAATTTTTTTGCACATTGTTGTTTTGTTAAATGCTATTCATATATTGAAAATCTTGTTAAATGGGGACCTAGGTTTGAAAGTTAAGACATTTTTCTGTGTTAGTAAATTTGTTATAAAATGTTCTCATCTAGTGTTTTATAATACATAACACTTAGTTTAAATACCTTTATGTACATTATATACTGATATCATGGTGTTGCTTGTTATTATTGGTATAGCTATGTATTAATTAAAAGCGCTTTACGTCTGTTGGATACAATTTCCTGCATATGGACTAAGCACTTGAGAAACTACATATTTTGTTTTATTTAAAAAGAAAAGAGATCTATGTGTTAGTTATTGGTTGATTATAATATTTTTATTTCTTTAATGGTACTTACCATAACTTATTTCATATATGAATCAAATATACATGTTGGAATTGAACAGCAAATATTAATAATATAATAATATTGTACTGTAGAATGTTTAGAGGAGCTATGTTGTATAGCGACTTAAAGCATAGGCTTATTGTGTGCAGCTATAGACAAGTTTAAATCATTTGTATTACTAATATCATATATTATATTATATTCTAACCATCAAACAATATTGTTAATGTTTATTATTTTAATTGTTTTCATGTAAATAGAATATTGTTACAGACTTTTTTTTTATCCGTAATTTGCCTCAGAATTTGTTTTAATATTTAAATTACATGACTGTTTCAATTTTATTAGTGACTCTATCAACGGTGTTTATTATGTTTTTTAAATTTTTAATGTTATTATTATTGTAATTGTGTAAATATTTTTATTTTATTATTTTTTTTTTTTTTTTGATTTAGTGTCATAGGATTTTGAATCGAAAATAGTTATTTCAATTATATTATTACCATATACTGTTTTAACATTTTCATTATTCCTTATTATATATTTAAAACTATAGGGTTATATGTACTGGTATCTCTTGCACAAGGTTATTAGAAATAATGGGAAATTTTAAAATATTTTAATTGATTATATATTAAATATATTATGCACTCGAGTGCATTTTTCATTATTTTCTGTTTCATTTGTACATGATAATTTATCACTACTATGATATTATGATTTAGACTAATTCTCAGATATTTTATAACTTCAAACAAAATGAAAAGATAATATTTTAACTCATTGCTTTCCTTTGGTATTTCTGTTCAAAACTTTTCCATGTTTAGTGATTGTGTCCATAAAATATATATTAAAAAAATATTTATTTTAATATATGTAACTGAAAGTAAGATTTACATTGTAAAGTTTTTTGTTTCTACCTATGATATAATATTTATTATTTACATATTGCTTGTGTCTGCAGAGATTTGTGTGTATAAATACATATCCATTTAGTGCTCTTGACGGATATTTTTCTTATACAACTATATATACTTACTACAATTCCCAAAAAAGTTCAACGATAGAATTTTAAGCTTGTTTTCGACATGTTACTTTTCTTTCTAACTTAATTTTATTTCATTCTCTTTTGACTTAATTCTTAAAGATGCTGATTAGGAATTTGCATCAACTATCGAATTTTATGTTATATACAAATTTGTTGTGCTCAATATGAGATTTTTAAACTTGGTTATTTTCCTTCAGTTTTTATTTAATATAGCTGGTGTTTTTAATTTTCAAGGCTTGATAAATTAATAGCACTATTGCATAGTTTTAAACTAGTTAAATATAGTTTATCATTAGTCAACATTGATCATTTTGACAAATACTTGCAAGCTAATTTTTAAAATTAAAATTTTAAAGATTTCTGTAATGTTATACATTATACTGAATTTTCTGTACTGTTAATTATTAGTGGTTGAAGCAGTTATGGAATAATGGAAATAAAATATTTCTTTAAACAAAATTGTATTTTTAATAATTATACCTAACACACACACTTGTTCTTATGAAAACTGTACTAATGTATGAATTAAATTTTATATATTTAACAAGACATATATCGTGTAGAATCAATATTTATCATATTTTAAATATCTTCGGTTATTTAGAGCCACTTCAACCTCTCTATATATTATACTTTATATAAATTACCATCTTTTCTCTACGAAAGTTTGATATTTGTAGTGGTCGCGTTCTAACTAACGTAAATATTCAGCATCCTCCTTGAAATTTATTGCTTATACTCACTGTATATATTATTAATTTATTTCTTATTCGCGCAACGCTTTTACGAATATTATTCAGCGAAATGTTTACGATTGTAGACCGCCTTGCGGTGCGCATTGTCCGTAACGACTGACTATATACCTACATATTATATTATCCTGATTACCGCACAAATATCCTTTGGATAAGTTCACTCGTATGAAAAATTTTACTGTTGTAGTTCGTGTTTGAGGTCGTTTCCGGATCAATGTGATATGTGCAATAAAACTAAATAGATATGAACATAGGTGCACGTATTTTATTTGGTTGAAATTAAGCAAATTTTATATGTATGACGGTTGCTAAACAAAAACATGGACTTTGGTGCCACTGCCCTGTAACGAACAGATTTTGACCTCTTTAAAGATTTTGCAGCATCAACAGTTTGGCGAAGGTAAACTTGCAGTTTCATTCAATGTCGCGATTTCAAAAATAATTTGAAAATAAATATACGCCTATAATATAAATCGAATGACTTGTGATTTTTTTTTATCGCTTAAATCGGAATATTAATTCGGATAGAACACGATTGCGTACGTTTGTAAATGGGTAACAAAAAGGTGGCTAAGAAAAATAAATAAACACGATTGCGTATGAAATTGTATACAACGTTGTCAAATTTACTAATTTCACCGTATTTTATCTAATAAATGTAGAATGCGTATATTAAGTTATATACTATAAGTTATATAATAATCAACAAAAAAAAATTAATAATAAAATAATAAATAAAATGAGGGTAGCTAATAAATAAATAAAATCGACAGTTTTTATTTGAATGAAATTATTGTAAATAAATTATTTGAAAATGTTTAAATTTGGATTTCTTAATATCTATAACCTACTTTTACTGAAACTCGGAAAACATCGTATAATATAACGGAAATAACGAAATTTTGCTATAAATGACATGTTTGATATCATTAACAATAATTATAGGTAATATCAAAAAAGCAATAAATTCTTGTCCAATCGAAAGGAAGAAAAATATTACTTTATAGTTAAATGTACATAATATTTCCTACTACTTCCTACGCAGCGATAAGTGTGCATGCAAATAGTGTTCGAATGTTATCGGTTTCACACAAATATTTCGCGTTTAGTCAAGAGGGGGGTTTTGGGATTATTTTGGCCCAGGCCCCAAATTTTTGGTGACCACAACATCCATTGCTTTTTTTTTGTTAACCCCATAACCACCGTCGGTTTGTTACTATATAGGCACCATACTTTAAGTTGTTACAGGCCCCACTAAACTTTACGACGACCTTATCATGAGCTTGTTATAGAATGTAGTATTTTAAAAAAAATAAATTAAATTTTTCTGGTCTTAAAAATCATAATTAATTTAATTGGGATAAATTAAAAAAATAATACGTTAATTTCAAGTTAACATATATGGAAATGAGTGAAGTTAATAATTTAAGTTGGTTTACCAGTAATGCAATAAGTCAAGTTAATAATTTAAATCAACTTAACTTTTAACTTATCAACTCGTTAAATGTCCAGGCTCGCGTATATACTACAACCATATACATTTAACCGTAGAAATCAACAATTTTTCCGACTTCTCTCGATAGATTTAAAAATGCAATCTAAACGTTATCATTAATTTTATACACACGTGCTTACTTAACATTTCTGAAAAAAAATTACAAACTAATTCACTAATTACATACGTTTCGCTGCATGTGTATATATACGCTAAACGAGTGCGAATTTAGATGGGGGGGGGGAACACGGATTGATAAATCCGAACGATAGTTCAAACATTTGTCGAATCGCCGAAACTAATAGTTGAACATTTGATTGCCAACTGGGGCTCAGAATTTTGAACACGTTGGTTTATTTGGTAAATCGAATGCCGCGCGCTTGCTACGAACACCCCCGCTGAAGCGATGTCGGATTTCGACGATAAAGAATCACCGTTCGGAAGTGTACAGTTCCGTTCAATTCGCCGGTACTGGCACGTTCTAATCGATGATCGATTGGGTGTAGTATATTTCATTTTTTTTTTTTTTTTACGTCCACACGTGCACTTACCTTTTTCGAACGATGCGAATAATAGCAAAACGTAACAACAGCCACGGTGCCCCCGTACATCAACCGCACGCTGCCGTCCTTGTGGTTCCGTCGTGGGCGCAACTATAGGGTTTTTAGCAGCACCGAGTTCAAATGTTCAAAATAAGTTCAAAATAATCCATAGTGATCGCAGTCAAACACCATTTTATTAAATTTTCAGCGATTTCCGCACCACCAGTATTTGGGCTCTAGTTGCGCCCACGGGGGCGGGAAGGTTCCGTCACCCGGGTAGGTTACCCGTACGTTAAGAACGGTACGCAGCGACGCGCGCATCTAGTCCACATCGCGTTGTTGCAGACACGGGGTGGCCCGTGCAAACATTGATTTTCCGACGGATTTCCGACGTATGGATACGTGTATACGCGCGCGCGTACCCTTATGAGCACGGCAATTAATATGCGTCACGGTTACATTACATATTTTTGCCACGGTCTCGGAAGTAATTGTCAATTAACATAAATTAAACGGTGCGGCAGGTTAAGTGCGTCGTGCATAATTCTCGGGACGGCCGAAGATTATTATGCGTATTATGCGCGTGGTATACATGCCCGAGAACTGCAGCTTGAGGAATTTCGAGTTTTAATTAGTTTTTTTTTTTTTTTTAATTAATCGCCGGTCGTTTGGTTTAACATTGGATTAAAGATTATTAATTGAAATTGAAACACGTGACTTACGACTAAACCAAACCGCTTTTGCACGGGCTAACAACCATAACCGGCAAGCGATTCGAGAAAAAAATCACAATTATTAGTCGTTACTGCCGCGTGTTAGTCAACGGCGGTGTAGCGGGAATCGAGCCCGGCACGATCGACCGTTTATCCGTAACTGGGCTGATGCGTACGCGATACAAGGGCGTATTTGAGGAGGAGGGGAAAGGGGGCATTCGCCCCCCCCCCATATGGCTCGTATTTAATTTTGAATATAATACATTGATTTATTTAAAAAATGTATAAATAATTAAGAATATAAATTACTAGTCTATCGTTATAATATGTTATCATTATAACAGGAACGTGAGCTGTAGGTAATGAACTGT